ACTATCAAATAATATACATATGTTAGTATATTGAGATTTGAGTTTGTGTTAAAGCTATTAGTGATATAACTGTCACATAATATAAAAAATATATTATTATATTAAGATTTGAGTTTGTATCATATGTATGAGTTATATATAATAAAATATTTTTATGCCACGTGACCGGAAATTTATCATTTTTTGTCTAATTCTGAACAGAAGTTAGCTTTGGAAGTAAATTTGGAAAAACTTGAAACATGAAAGGCCAAAGTGAGGAGAAAAAAAACTTGCTGTGTTTGGTTGGAGGAATTGAGAATGGATTTGGAAAGGGAAAATGAAAAGGTGTGTGAAATGTAGGTATATTTTATACATATTTCACGTACTTTTTTCAAATCCCTTTCCAAATCCACCGACCAAACACTGCGTAAGGGCCAAAGTGAAAAAGTAACGAAACATAAAGGGAACAAAATAAAAAAATTTATTTACATATTTTATATAATTTGTAATGCCTTGTTTGGAAATAAATTATTTTAGTTAATAAGTAAAATAAAAATAAAAATCAACTCTTATAAAAAAAAATAAAAAATTCCTTTCTTATTTTTGCACATTTTTTTCGTAAAAAAAATATAAAACAATTATTCTCAAACATATATTGTCTTTTATTTTATTTCGTTTCATATTTTAACCAAAAAGGTATAAAAAAATCACTAAAAAACCAATTTCCAAACATACCCTAAATTTTTTAAAAAAATTGGTTGTTGATGCCATGGTCACTTTTGGTCAAAGAATAGGGCCACAATTGGTTCGGGCCATAATATTCTCGATCAAATCATAATTAGTAATTAGCAACCTAATCAAGTATTAATGAGCCATGCAAGGAGAGGTGTCCCCAACAAGGGAAAGTATTTTGTGTAACAATTATACCACATTAGCATAAATTCCATTCCAATTAAAATATGACACCCAGGCATACTAATCCACATCAACAACACTTTGCCTTCATCGCCACTTCCTCCTTCTCGTCTCTCTCTATGTTTTCTAATATGCGAACTCGATCACCAATCCTTGAGCAAAACCCACAAGTTTTGTTAATGACTTGTATGCTCTTTACTTTGAGGTAGAGATTTTCTTAATAACTTGTATGCTCTTTAGTTTTGTCATATGTTATTTTGTTAAACAAAATATTTGAGAAAGCTAGGGTTTGATTAATTTATGTGTTAGTGCATGAAATGGGGATCTCTCTTTAGCCTTGCATATTATTCAATTAAAGTTCATGTGGTTATCTTGTGACTTGGTTTTTAGAAGGAAATTGAGTTTTGAGAAAGGAACCCCCAAATTATTTTTTTTCATAAATAATAGGAGGTGTTTGGGTTTTGGAAATTTAATTTGAAAGGGTGATATTCATGTGACTCTTGAGGGGGTTGGGATTGAACATTTTGACTTGTTGAGATTTTGGAAAAATCATGGTGATTTCGGAAACATTGATATTATGTTAAATTATATCATTGTTGTTACTATTTAATTTTGTATTAGAGATAATTTTTTTGGCTATTGGTGGAGGATAGCATTGTCGTGTGATAGAAATTGCATGTGATTTAAGCAATTAAATTGTTTACAAATCATGCATCTCATTGATCATCTCATGAATATGTGAACTTCATATTTTATATCTTGGAAATGATTATGTTTTGAGAAAAAAGGTGAATCCATGGTGAGTTCGACTAGGAGGTGTGATTGTGGATAATTAATTTGGCTTTAGGTCTATGGTGAAAGTCCGAAAACACGCACGGTGTAGGCACCAAGTTCCTTCCAGTTAGGAGCAGGTAAAGTGGTTATTGGGTAGTGCTTTGAGAACCTACTTACAGACACCAAACTAGGGATTACCAATGTTGTACTTACTACCCTGTTTTCTATTTAAAAGATAGTGTTTGGAATGCAATTTTGGAACTATTTCATGGCATTGTTTCAAAAAGGAAAACTCATGTTTTGGGCATGGCATTTCATGTGCATTTTCACTAGGGGTGTCCGTGGTTCGGTTTGGGACTGTTTGCGGTTCGGTTTGGACCCGTCCGCATCTATGCGGTTTGGGAAAAAGTCAACCCGCAACCGCCCGCAATGCGGTTTGCGGTTTGTGCGGATAGGGTTCGCGGATGTACGGGCGGTTTGCGGATTGAACTTTTTTTTAAAAAGTTTATTTTTAAACCTTTTTTTTTCTCATCTGCCAAATCCACATGGCCTAAAAGAATCTACCAAGTATGCAAAACTATGTAGCAGAACAATAAAGACCACAAAAGAAAAAGCAATTCCAGTTGGCTAAGAAGCATCCTGAGCTGATTTTTGAATAATATCAGTAATGGCAACATGGAAAGACATTAATTATGCAATTCTTTTACATATATACATATATACAGAGTAGAATACCTATACAATGAACTCACTCATATAGGAAGAATGTAAAAAAAAGTAACCAGTCATTAACATTAATTAAGCAATCTCTGATATTACTACATATACGAAGAATCATATACACAGAATGTAAGAGTAACAGTTGTCCTCAATTTTTATACAAATTTATTAAGCATGAGCACTCAAGAAGATTTAAAAAAAAAAAAAAAAAAAAAAAAAAAAAAAAAAAACAAAGATCATTTTCTCTAAACTTCTTTGATATATATAGAACAGAGATTATAGAGCTATATGTAACAAGCTACGTTCAAAATAACAACTTCAATAACAAATTACAGATTATCAAAATAATAGATTACAGATTCAATTTATTTCCAAGAAAAAAATTTAAACACACAGATTCAATTTAAACACACAGATTATCAAAATAATAGATTCAATTTAAACATACAGATTACAGATTACAGATTACAAATTACAGATCCAAAAAAAAAAAATCAGATTTGAACACAGATTCAACAACAAATTTAAACACAGATTCAATTCCAAAAAAAAAAAAAAAAAAATATAAAATACCTATCAATCTATCTATCTATACTATTATAAAGTGAACACAATTTATGGTGTCATGAAGCCATTTCTTAGAAATTTTTCTCAATTTTCTCTAAAATGACCTTAACCTTTTACACTTCCAACAGTTTTAATTAGGGGTAAAATGATAAAACAAAACAATCAATTTCACTTTCCCACTTCCCACTCTCCACGTCTCCTTATTGCAGTTACAATATACATCGAAATCCCCTCTGCATCTACAACTCTCCACGTCTCCTCATTGCAGTTACAATATACACCGAAATCCCCTCTGTATCTACATAACTCCCACATAGAGAAGACCCCAAACGAAACAACGATACAGACCTATCTTCCACAGAGATCTCCATGGGACACGGTACTTAAAAGCCAACAGCTTTTATGGTGTCATGAAGCCACTCTTTAGAAACTTTTCTTAATTTTTCCTAAAATAACCTTAACTTTTTACAGTTACATCAATTTTAATTAGAGATAAAATGGTAAAACAAAACAATCAATTTCACTTTCCCACTTCCCACTCTCCACGTCTCCTCATTGCAGTTACAATATACACCGAAATCCCCTCTGTATCTACATAACTCCCACACAGAGAAGACCCCAAACGAAACAACGATACAGACCTATCTTCCACAGAGATCTCCATGGGACACGGTACTTCATCCTTTCCCTGTGATATGAATTAATTGATTCACTCTCTAATTGCAGGTGAAAAGGGTCGCCATAGCAAAAAGCACAAATCTTCTTCCAAGGTTCTTCCATTTCCGCTATTTGTCTATGTTTTGATTTTGCTTTTCCTGTTTTTGTAAAACAAAATTGCGTTTTTTGTTTGAAGGAGGATCATAGGCCCATAGTTGTAGAAGACGATGACTCCTATTATGTTGAGGATTTAGATGATGATTATCGTGATGGTATAACTCTGAATTTAAATTGAATTGATTTTTTTGGATGATTTGGACAACCTGAGTGAGTGAATTGTGTGTGTATAATAGTATAGATGATTAAAGGTGATAGGGAAGGAAAAAAGAGAGATTTTAGCAAGCTAGAACTTAAACCAGATCAACTATACATTTTTAAATCTCCCTCTTATTATCAATTTTGATATACATACATACATACATATATATATATATATATATATTGGTTAACAAAGATCAAAGAAGCAAAAATACAGATATGACCATTTCAAATAGAAGAATTGCACAAATACCAACAAGAACCTTCATGTACAATTCTCCAAAACCCATCAAGAAGATGAGAAGCTCATCACACACATCAGTAGCCATGGCCATGGCTGTTGGAGTTCTGTTCCTAAACTAGCAGGTATGAATTCTACTTGTTATTTCTTGTCTCATTTCAAGAGAGGGATAGAAGAAGGAAATCGAATACAGGTGCTGAGCTTGGCTGATCCCTAAGAGTCTGGTGTTATTTCACTGCACTATAGGACTTGCTCAAGATCTATTTTATACTTAGTATTGTCATTTCTAGAAATCAATGACTGGATTTTGGAACAAATATTGAGTTTAACGGTGACACAAGTCACGGACAATCAAAATATCCGAAATAAGATTAAGTAGACATCATTTGTCACCCACTAATCTAACTCTGCACTACCGCAATATAAGATTCATCATTGGTTGGTGATACTTTTAATATTGTCATGTAATAATACCATTATACCCAATATTTGTTCTAATTTTATTGTTGAGATATTGCAGGCTTGCAAAGGTGCGAAAAGAGTTGCAGACTAAGGTGGATAAATTACTTGAGGCCAGATCTCAAGAGGGGTTCTTTTACTGAACAAGAAGAGAGAATCATCATTGATGTTCATAGAATTCTAGGCAACAGATGGGCTCAGATAGCCAAACACCTCCCTGGTAGAACTGACAATGAAGTCAAGAACTTTTGGAACTCATGCATCAAGAAAAAGCTCATCTCACTTGGCTTAGATCCAAACACTCACAATCTTCTCTCTCCCCATCAAACTACCACCAATTTGTTTTGGTGCTGTTTCCAATGTTTGGCCCCGAATGGGTTGTTTTCCCCTTTTTGCCTCACAATTTGTTCTCTAATATTCTCATAACACGTTTATTTGCCTTGACTTTGAACATAAATATAATGCAATTTGGTTAACACACTTACCCATTACCATAAGTAGCTATGGTGGGGACTTTGATGGATTGAGCTTTTCCAAAACTTGCGCCAACGTGCTCTGAAGTCCAAAAATCTGCATCTGCATCTCCTCACGTTGTCTTGCATTCTCTGCCTCTTTCATTTGTTGCTCCTCTTCCTTTTTTTGCTGCTCCTCTTCCTTTTTTTTCTGCTCCTCACGGTCACTCTGCTGCTCCGCACGCAGTATCTCCAACTCGGATGTAAGCCTTTTCAAGTGCTCCTCACGTGCTTGTGATGCCACATTCGACCCAACATCACAAGACGAGGGCTTTGGTCCGACCCCAAAACCTCTCAAGTATCCCTTCTTCTTCCCCAGCACCACTCTTGATATATCCTCTTGTGTCATCGGTGTTCCAGACTCAATAGACTCATCCCGCACCATTGTCATTTGCTCCTGTAATTGTGACATATAACTATTGTTAATATAAATCAAACACAGTAGTTACTATAAGTGTCCAAATGATTGGAATAGTTACATGTAAATCACAGCATATAGGATCAATCCATTCTTTTGTCTTCTTGTTCTGATGAGTGTCCTTGTAGAAATTGCAAATATCTGGCAACAAGCCACCGTTTTCCTTCACCTGTGATATGCCAAACACCGATATCAACACTAACATATTAAATATGTGTGGATAAAGTTAATAAAATCAATGACACACATCTCACCGCAATGCTCATCGCCGCCGGAAAAGATCGCGACCCACTACTATGATTGTAGGGTAGCTTGCTCCTATTTAGTTTGCCGGCATCGTAGCGACGCTACATAATCCAAATTATAAGGGTTTGTTACATATATAGTTAAACAATGATAAAGAGTGCTAAGTAATAACTAAATTATAACATACCTTGTTTTTAGGATCCAACCATACTTGGTCAATCAAATACTTCCAATCATCGGATTGTACTCCTTTGCATGGATGAGCATAGGGATCAATTCCCGCATCCACAAGCTTCTCCCATTTCTTCTTCATTCTGCACTTCCAATCTTTATGTAACACATAACACTTTTTTTCCACAACTTGATGGGATAATGAATTCTCCTCGTAATTATCCTCAATCTCAAATTTATCCTATAATCAATACAAACCAAATAAGTAACTTAACTGATGTAATGTGTTAGAATTTACCATAACCCACTCCACCTACCACCTCCACTACCACACACACTCACCTACTTCACCTACTTTCCTACACCTACCACACACACTCACCTACTCCCAAATCCTCTCCTATATAATAGGAAGCCTTGTAACATCAACAATACAACAAACATAAATCAATCATTAATACAATTCTCTATTTCTCTTTATACATTAAATTTCTACATAATGTGAAAGCTGAAAATATGTTAAGAGTGAGAAAACCTTAAAATGGTGTCATTATACTAGTTTAAATGAGGGAGCTGTGACCAAGACTCCCTATAATCCATCCATGATATATGATCCACCACTTTCATAGCTCAATCTGTGAAGAAAGAATTTGCTAACCAAATTATTTTAATGTTAAACATTTTGTTGACCAAATTATTCATAGTCCAATTTGTGACCAAATTATTTTAATAGTTCAATCTGTGAAGAAAGAATTCGCTGACCAAATTATTCATGAATCATTTTGGTACATGAATTAGGAAAAAAGCATGGTACATTGTGTAATAATGTAATAAGTAGGAGAGTTGGATTGTGTCAAGGTACTGGTAGAAGCACAAGTGATTTTGCTTAAGCAAGAGGTACTGGTAGAAGCACAAGTGATTTTGCATTAACAAGTCAAAAATAATGGAACAATGTTATTGCAACAAATAAATTGCATAGATACTTTCAGAAATTAGTGTGTCATATTGAACTTAATCATGTAAACTAAATCCTATACTAGTTGAGCTAGTGAATGTAATGATTTTTAACTTAAACCATCTCTTGAAAAACCCTTGTCAGATAAAAGAATCATGAAAAATTAGAACAAAGTATAGAAGTTTTTGGGTAATTAATAAAGCATAGAAGAGTCTACCATGTTTCCAAACGTGTATTCCAAATTTTGAATCAATGGGAATTTCTAGTATTTTTGGTTCATGTTTGATAAATTATGAGCACAAGGATAGGAAACAATTATATTGAAACATTTATGATCTAGATTGACAAAGAATACCAACAGTAATTGCATATTTTGCAAACAAGAGCAGGACTAACATCCTAGATATGCAGATAAAATGGGGATGCACTACATCAAACTACCCTGTGAACAAAATACGGGAATTTGTGAACATCAAGTACAAATATTTATACATGGCAATGCCTAAGCGTAAAATCTGTCTTTATTTGGGACACAGAGACTTGTACAAAAAGTTAAAAATTAGGACACAGGCCATAACAGATGCATTGCTAATCGATTCTTAAAGCAAAGAGCCCTGACTGAATGAAGTTGTAGCAAAAGAAAATGAATTTGGTTACATTACATAGCTCTACACAAATTATGATTTAATTTCTCTCTTTGGTCAGCAAATAATTTGGTTTCTTTTGATACTATTTTCTATCTCTGTTTTTTTAATCAATATGTTCAGCATTGGGCATGAACTTCAGGTTTGTCCCTTAAGTTAAATATGTTCATTTGCATGCCATTTTATGCCTTGGTTTTGTTTCACACTGTTTGTAATATTGAATTTTCTGATGCAATTGAAAATAATCCATAATAGGTAAGGTGTTGAGTCACTATTGAATAACCAAAAACTCAGAACTGTGTTTTCTATAAATGACTTAGAACACCCCCTCCCCGAAAAATCTAAGATGGAATGGTCTGCTTATTTATAGACACAAGTTGAATAAATTTCCATCTCTTCACTGCTTGATTGGCACTTATTTCATGCCATTAACGAGTGCTATCTCTCTCTCTCTCTCTCTCTCTCTCTCTCTCTGTGTGGCATGCGTGGACACACACACACATCAGTATCTCTTTATAGAATCTCAAAGTAAAATGGCAATGATTTTCCCTATCACCACTTTGCAGAATAACATATTACAAGAAGTTATTGATGCATGGAAAGACCTTTATTTGTGTGTGTGTGTGTGTGTGTGTGTGTGTGTGTGAGGGAGAGAGAGAGAGAGAGACAGATATGTAAAATTCGTGAATTAACTGCCTTTTATGAGATAAGTAAACATTTGGGTCTTAGGAAACTGCATAGCACATTAGAGCCAATTTTAAAGGGGAAGTGAGACGTTGCTTGATTGATAGATTGTGAGGAAGAAAATAGCATTTGAGTTTCATCTGTTGTTTGAAGAGAAGGCCGGTGTGCATATTTTTTTGATATGATAGAGAAAGTTCTAACTGTTAAAGATTCTAATTTTTTTCTAACAAACTGGTGTGGAGAGAGCTGGGCATAACAATTATTTGGGTCTGTCAGCTGGCTGGAGATTTGGACGTTGGAGTGTTGATAGTTTTGTCCAAAATGATTATATTGTTAACAAATGTTAACTGAGTCTTGACATGACTGTTGGTTTTGTTTTTAAACACTTCGCATGTGAATGTGTAATTAGACTTTTTCAAGCTTTCATAACCAACAAAGTAAACAAATAAAACAAATGAGCTCGTATATGCACATGAAAACAGCATTGTTTCCATCATCCACACAAACTATGAAAGGAATTTAATCATACCCAGACAGCTTGTACAACAGCCCCTTTTGTCGCCGGATCAACAATAGTCCAACTGTTTAACGCCTTGAATAGGGCACATCCTCCTAATCTAAAGGCCGATCTCATTCGATCCTGGGGTTACTAGCACACCTTCGAATGCATTGAATATCTCCGTGATTGGAATGTACAGCATGTTTCCATTATTGTTGGCAACTTTTTTTGCTATTGCTTTTCCAACTGTTGGTCCCCGCACACACCTTAATGAAGATGCACCTGGTAATTAATAATATTATTAGTGTATTTACAAATTACAAAATATTAACAATATATAAATTGAAGACAGATGAAACATATTTAATTATCTACGCCACTCGGTTGACTTTGAAGAGATGGTGCATTTGTTTCAGACGGAGATGCTTCACAAGTCTCAAATCCAACTGGTGCATTAGTTTCAGACGAAGATGGTGCAACAGTCTCAGATCCTAACAATGCAGCTTGTTTAGACGGAGATGGTGCAATAGTCTAAGATCCATCTGCTGCAACACCTTCAGGAGTAGGTGTAGGTGTATCGGTCGGGGGTGAGTATCGTTCAATTACTGCCCTCTCTGGTGGTGGTAAACGGCTCATCTTTTTCGCAGGAGCCATTCTATTACATTTTAACATAATCAAAGGCAAAGAGCACAATGAGCACATAGATAAGCACAAATTTTTAATGCGTACAGACATATACATCGAGACTGATAATTAACAAACATTTAAGTAAGAAATGAACATCCATGAAGCATCTTAATTTCATATATATATTAATCCATCTATGTAATTTGCAAGTGATATTGAGGACATAGATAACAAAAACTGTAGTAGTATCTCCTCAATCAGTATGTACTAAATAAATACGTGAATGTTCTACATCATGCTTTATTTAAACAATGTCAAATTCATCTTCTTCTTGCTCGTCATCATTCTCAATGAAGTCATCTTCGTCACTATCACAAATGAAAGCATCATCAACACCCTAGACTTGTGTTTGACTACAAGATTGGAAAACCATTATATTTGGAATAATTTCACGTTCAATATCATCTCTACACAAAACCCCTTCATCACCACCACCTTCAAACACAAATGAAAGCATCATCAACACCCTCAACTTGTGTTTGACGACGAGATTGGAAAACCTTTGTATTTGGAATAATTTTACATCCAATATCATCTCTACACAAAACCCCTTCATCGCCACCGCCTTCAATTTGCATACCATTTCCGTCCACAATTGTTACAACCTCGGTGGTTTCATCTTGTTGGAACACACTATTGAGAACATCATCAGGTACACCATCCATCTCTGGCACATTCCAGATTTCTCGATAGTGGAATTGTTATACAACTTTCCAATTCCCACCTAATTTGGTATCATTAACGTAGAATACTTGTTCTACTTGAGCTGGGAATACAAAGGGGTCATGTTCATACCATTGAATTTTTACATCAACACTTGTGACATGTGTATCTATGAGACAAGTCTTCTTGCTACCGGCGTTATACCATTCACATTTGTACAAAACAACTAGATGTCTAAACAAATATGTCATTTCCCACACTTAACGATAGAAATGCAATGAACGACCCTCATGCTCCCCTTCTACAACCAACCCATTGTTTTTGAGTTTTACGACGATTATCACAGTCAATGGTATGAAATCGAACACCATTAGAAATGCATCCCGAATATGTGTTGACTATTGCACTAAGACCGTTCACCAACGACCACAATTCATGGTATGAAATCGAACACCATTTGTACATCATTATTGTTAGAATTTATCTAAAAATTGTTTTGGAGATATTTTGCCCATATCAGTCGGTCATTTTATGTGATAATGCATTCATATGAAGCACATTAGCAGTGGTCATTTGCATTAAAATTGAAAAAAACTAGTGAGGTTGCCAAAAAGGACACTTGCAGAGGTCATTTGCATTAAAATTCATGGCCGCAATAACATCAAAGTTGTTGTGCATATGTTTAGAAACTTGGATTTGTTAAGTAAAAAGAAAAGGAAAGTGAAAATGATGATGACAGAAAGAAAAGAGAAATGAAATGAAATATCTAAATTCCTTGGTTTTGTTTTGTTGAGGGGTAGGAATTCAAACCACTTAAAATTTTTCTACATTTAAAAAGCAACAACACATCTGACAGATTTATTGTTGGAGCTTGGCCAATTACGCCACACATCCGACAGATTTATTGTTGGAGATGTGGACTTGTAATGCAAGTTGAATTCAAATATATAATAATGATATCTAATATATGGAAATGAATAAGAGCCTTCAATTTCAATAACAAACCCCAGTGCACACAAGCAAACAAAAGCTAAGGTAAGGAAACCAGAGTAGAATATGATGTACGCACATGAAAACTCACCTTATAATATGATATATTCCCTTTGGAATCTAATACTAAATAGGGTAACTTTACCTCTTGCTAGCCACATATAGCAGAAATATTCCAAGTAATATGAAAGTAACTTGGCAATATCTTAAATGATATGAATAGTAGGCATGGAAGCTCGATAAAATTTTGAAGCCAGGAGACTACAAGGCCTGAGACAGAGTAGTGACAAGCAAAGAGGAATAAAACTTGAAAGATACGAAAACAATTCTTAAAAACAAAACAAAAAAAAAACAAAACAAAACAAAAAAAAAAGTTCTTATGCTGGCTATCCCAACCTACTTCACAACAGAACACCATTCAACGGATAAAAATTAGAACCTAATGACATCACAAACTACATTCAGAACTCAACTGTTTAACAGCACCAAAAGATGCAACACAGAGTTTAGAGGCATGGCCAATTATGGTTAGACATTTCCCATGGTCAAAAGTTGGATTTAAAAGTAAGCACGGATAGCACTTTTATTGGTAATCCAAGACTAGAGACTGTAGGGGCTTTGATTAGAAATAGTGCTGGTTTTTGGGTGGTGGGATTCATTCAGAAAATTGTGTGGGCTCATGCTTTAACGGCGGGTTATGTGCAGTATGGCAAGGTCTACTTTTAGCTTGGCAAATAGGATGTAGGGAGATCATTTTGGAGATAGATTGCCAAGATGCAGTGAGTTTGTTGCAAGGTCCAAATTCTTTACATCCTAATTTCAATTTGGTGCTACAAATGAGGGAATTTGTGAAGGAATGGGACTGTAAAATCCAGCATATTTTCCTACAAAGGCAAAAGAGTGTACAAATCAGTTAGCACATGAGGCACTACAAGGAGGTACTCACTGATATTTTCTGCTAGTTTTTCTTCTTTCTTTTTTTTCTCCTTAGCTTTGGCCACCATTGTATGCCAACAACAACCCAGTCTTTTGTTAGGCCTTGACCAATTACGCCACACGTCTGACAGATTTATAATTGAACCATTAGACATTATTAAGTAAATTGCCACCACACATGAAATGGCTTTTCAAGGTAACCATCATCCTAACTCCCAAGTCATCTGATTCATAGCCAACAAATAATAATCAACCTCGATAGTGTATAACCAATCGGATCCGTAAAGAAGTAGGTCCTAATGAAATCACCAAATAAATCCACTATATAGACATACTACGTTTAATCAGATATGCTCAGAATTCACTTGGTGAAAACATATACATAATAAAAAACTTAGTCAACCTAAATTATGCAATAAACTAGAAGCACAAAGATACATAAACTTCACAAAAACAAACCAAACAATCGAAATCATTGCAAAGTTCAACGAAAATAAATTCTTTTAATTGAAGCAGAGAAAATAAAGACCTCTAACTCAACTCAACTCAACTTAGCATAGCTTTGTTTATTATTATTAATATTATTATTGTTATTATTATTATTAAGTTCCATTTTTTGCTACTACTCCTCAATTTCCTTAAAAAAAAATTAGAGAAACAGACAATGGACAATAGAGCTGTATCTGTGTGTGTCAAACTGGTATGATAGAGTTTTGTGGGATATATATGTGGGATCTACAAACAAAAACAACAAGTAGTCACAAGCTCTGACAACTCTCTAGTCACATATACGTTCAGTTAATAAGCAACATTAAAAGATTAAGTATTACAAAACACCATAGAATAGCCTTTTGGGAGGAGGGAAAAGAAAATTAATGAACAAGATTCATGTTCACAGAGAAACAGATCAAACCTCTTTATGTATATATATATATATATATTTGTTATTTAAAAGGCAATCGATGAGATTATATCCAAGGATAACCCACATCCAAACAGTGATACACAAAATTCCCAACTAATAAGCAAATTATAGAAAGCAAATCTGGTATACTTGCATGTGATCTAGATATCCAACCAGAACAAACAATAATATACACACACACATACACACACACACACACACACACATATATATATATATATATAAGTTTTCATTGTCTGCAGAGTATATAGAAGTTTTCATTGTCTGCAGAGTATGATTTGAGGCCATCCCTTCAAACATTCACTCATTAAGGTTTTGAAAATTAGAGAAAACAAAAAAATTAGTTTTCAAAATTAGGAAAAATAAAGAAAAATAGAGAAATTGAGTGACAGAGAGAGAGAGAGAGAGGACCCATACGTGATCTCGGGTTGTTTGAAGATAGGCGAACTCGTAGTAGCAGAAAAATGGTGATGGTAGTGCTGTTAGGTGTGAAAAAAGAGAGCAACCATGTGAGTAAGAGGAGTAATGGAACACAAATACAAAGATTGAGACACATACACACACACACAGAAACAGAGATAAAATACATACCCAACAACGGAGGCCCAAGTACTTCTCGAAGCGCCGCTGATGTTTGGTCAAAAAAGCGATACAAGCGACTACGATGACAGAGAAAGAGCGACTTTGGTGACAGAAATTGAGCAGGAGAATCGACGATGAGGTGCGTATGAGGAGTGGTGCGCGGTATATACTTACAAAGAGTTTGAAAAATTTCACTATTGCCTTTGTTAAAATCCACCTACTCTCCTTCCCTACAAAACTATTTGGTCGGCATTGTCTTTCAATTTAATTAATTTACATTCAAAACGACGTCGTTTTATTATCTGCAATCAAATTATTTTGATCGCTAAATTTTTTTTATTTTCCCATTTTTTTTGGTCTTCCAGATTCGACCTTTGCCGACCAAATTTCATTTTCGGTCACTGAAAGTTCTATTTTGGAAACTACAAAATATTAGTTGACAAAACTCCAAACATTGGCCTACCAAATTTTAATTTAGTTGCCAAATGAAAAAAAAAAATCGACAAAATAAAAGGTAGTCCGCAAAGTTGGTCAGGAAAAATGTAATTTCAGATGAACCTTTCCAACATTCTTCAGGCGCGGAATTCATTCCTCCAAATTTATGAAGCCGATGCCACCAGGGACGGAGCCAAAGAAAGCCCGAGGGGGGTCACGCCCCCCCCCCCCCCCTCAATTTTGAATTTTTTTTTTTTTTTTGTGGTCATATACTCCATATTTTGTTCATTTTTATTCTTAACATTTTCTTTGTCTAACATTTTCATTCAAAACGCATCATTTATAAGCAATATCATCTCTTTAATATTTTCTGTCAAATACAAATTAAATAGATTTTATAATAATTTGTGCTATAAATGATGTGTTTTTATTTTATAAAATCAGGGATTTGATTCATAATTTTTTGTACTAAAATTACAAACTTACATCACCATCTCGCACAGAGCTATTATACACTATTATAGAATTTTGTTAGCCTCATATTAATAATGATTTTTAATTTGTCATACTTAAATTTAGCCTATAAAATTATTATTATCTTAATGTTGATCATTTTTTTTTAAATAAAAAATTGTAATTAATAAGTGCCCCCTCTAACTTAATTTCCTAGCGCCGCCACTGACCGGTGCAACATCAAGCCCACCTCGAATGGAAGTGAACAAAGCTGAGAAGCCAGTAGTGGAGGATCCACCAGCTCCAATCCCCAGCCAAAGAAGATCAAGTGTGGTGGGTTTGTTCCCATAGAATGATGGTGGATTGACTATCAAATTAGTCAAACCGGTGGCAGCTCAATTGGTGTGGAGCCCAAGCCTAGCCACTACCGATGAGTTGCTCTCTGGTATCACCACCATAAGGCTTACAGTCAGATGAGCCCGCAAAGAGCGCTGGTGGTGTCAACGATGGTGGCAAAGACATACAGAGCGGCTTGAGAGATTGAGATAGAACCTGAGAGATTAAGATTGATGACCCACAGATGGGGAAGAGAGCTGCTTCAAAGAAACAAATTTAATTGAGGGCAACAAAATGGGGAAAGAAGAATATTTATATATATATATATATATATATATGTGGTTATTGGCAACTAAAATAGTTTTTTAGTCGCTAAAAATAATTTATAAATCCCTCCAAAATTTGAAATGTCTCCCTCTAAATATTTTAGTTCTTTTGTGACCAAAAATTGTTTTAGTCGCTGAAAATAAATATTGGGCGACCAAACTTTTTGTCGCCAAAGATAAAAAGTAAATTTTTGTTTTTCATTCGGCAACTAAATTATTTTAGTAGCCAAAACTAATTATACAGCAACTACAATATTTTTTAGCCGCTGAAAATAAATATTTGGTTTTAAAATATTTATTTTCATTCGACGACTAAATAATTTTAGTCGCCAAAACTAAAATATTCACCAGAGATGAAAAGAAATTTTGGTTTTTCATTCGGCGACTAAATAATTTTAGTAGCCAAAACTAACTATACAGCGATTAAAATATTTTTTAGTCGCTTAAAATAAATATTTTTGTTTTTCATTTTGCGACTAAATAATTTTAGTAGCCAAAACTAACTATCTGGTGACTAAACTATTTATTTAGTGGCCAATTGTGGGAAATTTAGCGACTAAATTTTTTTTAATTGTCAATTGTGGCATTTTTAGCGACTAAATTTTTTTTTAGCCGCCAATAATCAATATACCTCGACTAAAAAAATTTAGTAGCTAAATATTATACTTTTGCCGACTAACATAAATTTTGGTCGCCAATTCCACAACTTTTGGCGACCAAAATTTTTTTAGTCGGCAAAAGTGGTCACCAAAAGTGTATTTTCTTGTGGTGTTAATACCAACTATACCCTCACCCAAACCCAAACCCTAGCCTCCACTCTTAACCACTACTTCCAGCACCACTATCATTGCCTTTGTTAAAATCCACCTACTCTCCACCTACTTCACCCACTTAAACCTACTCCACTAAACCTAACCCACTACACCACTACCACCTCCACTACTCCACTAAACCCACTACACCACTACCACCTCCACTTACTCCACTAAACCTAACCCACTACACCACCTACTCTCCACCTACTTCACCCACTCTCACCTACTCCACTAAACCTAACCCACTAAATCCACATACTCTCCACCTACTTCACCCACTTAAACCTAATCCACTAAACCTAACCCACTACACCACCTACTCTCCACCTACTTCACCCACTCTCACCTACTCCACTAAACCTAACCCACTAAATCCACATACTCTCCACCTACTTCACCCACTTAAACCTACTCCACTAAACCTAACCCACTAAATCCACATACTCTCCACCTACTTCACCCACTTAAACCTACTCCACTAAACCTAACCCACTAAATCCACATACTCTCCACCTACTTCACCCACTTAAACCTACTCCACTAAACCTAACCCACTAAATCCACATACTCTCCACCTACTTCACCCACTTAAACCTACTCCACTAAACCTAACCCACTACACCACTACCACCACCACTTCACCTACTCCTTACCTACTACACACTCACCATCTTCTATATATAGGAATCATGAATCATTGTAAAAGATATAACACATCAATCTCTCAATCATTTCTCTTTATACATTAAATTTCTACATCTAGGTCCTGTCATCCTCACCATCGGAGATACCCATCGTCTGCCTAACCCGACAAAGCCCTTGTTTCGAACTTGAGACAGAAATACCCGAGTGATCTGGGTTAGGCCCATCATACCTCAGGTTATGATCAAGACTTTTATGGCCTGATGGACCATCTCCCACTTGGTTAAAATCTTGGCCCAAATTATGGGTGCAATTTAAGCCCATGTTAATACCCTCATCACCACCAATCTGTTTTTTGTTTGATGCATGAGAGAGGCCCAAATCTGGCCTAGGCCCAAGATCACCCATCAGCCCATCTCCACCTAAAAAATCCTCTCCTGATCTGTGGCCCTGAAAAACTAGCCCATGTTCAATACAAACTGTATCACCCCTTGACCTCCCCTCATCGTTGACATTCCTTGAGTCAAAAATATGAGCCTCTTCATGAACCCCAACTTTCTTGGGAACTAGACAGCCACGTGTCCCAACTGTTACCTCAACCTTATCATCTTCCCTACCTCCGGCGCCAAGCTCTGATGAAAACCCATGCCGGAAACTCCATTGCCGAAGACCCTCTCTGCGTTTGACAGCTTTCGAAAGCGACTTCACATGCACTGTGATTGCTCCTTCATCCGTCATAATTTCCACGGTTGATGGTAAAAATCCAAAAGTCGATCCTTTCACCTTCAGTCTTGCCTCAAAAAGATTTTCAAAAGTCTTGGTTCTTTTGTCCACTGCTAATAGCCCTCCGCATTTCGCACCAATTTGTTCAAAAATCCTTGTATTCCATAAATTAAACGGCATGTCACAAATAGTAATCCATCCTCCATATGAGGCAATAACATTAGATATCCTATGCTTCTCATCGGACCACCTCTCCAATATTACTGCAATACCTTTATCAAAAAATTGCAAACCTTTATCCCCATAGAACACAGCCATCTCCTTGGTTTTGGTGAAGAACAAAGCTCGATTCAACTGAAAGGGACGAAGCTTGATAGATAACTTGTAAGACTTACATAATTCCTTCTCGATTTGCTCCCAACATATGAAAAAATCTGTTCTCTCACACACCACCACCTGATGGAGAACTAAGGAAGAATCATTTGATACTGAAAATGGTGATTGAAGCTTAAGAACCTCCGCATACGACCTACCTCTGTTTACCCCTGTTTTCACTTGAGGACTCAAGTCCTCTATATGTACCTCCTTATTTGCCCCATTTTGCTGAACATCATCGCCAAGATCATTTGCCATGGCCATATGTCTTACCTGTTTTCCTGCATCCTTGTCTTCAGTACCTCTATTGGCTTCAATGTCAGTTTGCACTGCCATTTTTTGCTCCACAGACCGCATAGGAAAGTTCAACGGAGCAAACCCTGGGGCGCTTGGTTGAGGTTCACTGGCCCCGCACCAGTTATCTCTCTTGTTGACTCGTTAAGGTCTGGAAAGAGAGTAAGCAGACCACGGGAAGGCGAAGCCATTTTCTGGACAACAGAGTGTTACAGAGTATCTCTCTCAGAAATCTCTCTCTCAGAAAACAGAGTGTTACAGAGTATCTCTTTCAGAAATCTCTCTCAGAAAACGAAGAGTTTTTCAGAGTTTTTTCTAGCAGGTTTTTGTCTTTGCTTCCAAGCCTCAGCCTCCGCTTCGGTTTATAAAGACCATGACAAAGAGGCCGACACGCGTTCTGTCGATCACGTGCATCGCCGCGTGTCTGGCGCACCTTTTGATGGCACGCCTTTTAATGGATTGGGCACGCC